CTTAAAAATTATTTCTAATGCTTTGTGTAGTAAGTATGTATGCAGAACAATAGAATCCCTGTTCTTATACACATAATTAGCTATAAAACTGAGTGAACATATCTATTAGGAGTCTTAAATAAGACTTATTTTTCCATTGATACAAGTATCTTCAGTACTGAATGAGAATTGGATGAGGAACTAGGTCTGTGGACATTAAGTACTGAGTAATTATAATATTGTAGAACTGCAGCATGATCTTCATAAACCATGAAGTAGTTTAGAATTAATGTCCTGAAATTAAATAAAAGAAAGTATAAAGTCACAACATTAGGAACTCTGAAAGGCAGTTAAATGAGATACAAATGGAAAAACTTTTTTCTTACTCAAGAACTTTAAAGTTTATAAAAAGCTCATAAGGAAAACATCAAGTGAAGGTCTGGGTTTTGGGTTTTTTGGTTTTGGGGGTTTTTTTTAGCTAACCCATTTTCTTCCTTTTGGTTCATAAAAAGGGTTCCTGTTGCCATTAATTTTTCTGACCAGTTTTTATTTTAATTTCTGGAAGGTCTCACATGTATCAGTAAAGAAAAATGGCCTCTGTGGCTTTAAACAATCATAATTTTTTATAATTAATCCTAAAGTCATTATACTTATCTCTAGTATAGTTCGTCTGTGGAACAAAAGATACTAATTCATCTGTTGGGAGCCAGGGGATGGGAGGAGAGTTAACAAGACCAATTCCTGATCACTAAAGCTAGCTTGTGTTAAAGCTGTGTTTCAGCTATTGTGACAAGCAGGTGTGCTCTGAGTCATGAGCTGTTTTCACAGGGAAATGTGTGTGGCCTGCCAGAACAGATTACTCTGCTTTCTACAAAATTAGCCCTTGCAGAAGAGGACAAGGCACATGCTCAGGCTTGGCACTAGTCCAACCCCCGCTCAAAGAAGGGTCATCTTTGAGGTCAGACAGGTTCCCCAGGACTTCATCCATTTGTGTGTTCACGCTCTACAAGGACAGAGACTAGGCAACCTTGCTTGGCTGTCCTCAGAGTGGAAAAGTTCTTCTTTATATCCTGTCTGAACCTCTCACTTCAACTTACATGAGTTATCCCTTGTCCTCCTGCCATGCACCACTGTGAAGAGCCTGTATGTTACCTTGATTTATTTGCCATAGGTACTGGGGGCTGCTGTTAGGCACCCCCCAAAGCCTTCCCTTCTCAAAAATGATCACGCCCAGCTTCCTCTGACTCTCTTATGTGGAAGGTTCTCCAGCCTTGACCATATTGATGGCCCCTGCTGAGCTCCCTTCGGTTAGACAATGCCTCTCATGTACTGGGAGCACCAAAACTGGATGCAGTCTGACTATCACCTGTTAATCCATTTGCTTCAGAGGTCACCTGGGTTGCAGGTTAAACAAAATTATATTCACTACATTTCATAAATGGGGCTTGACTTTCTACAGCAATGTAGTCGTCATTCCCTTGCCATTCAAACTGTCCTGATTTGCAATTGTTGCGTGCTTCATAACAATACAGCAGTTAAACATCACCACCACCGCTTCAGTTTCCCCAATGTTTGTGACAGTTCTACCATTATGGCCATGTGGCAGAGACCGTGCAGGAACCCCACGTAATGGTGCAGATTGGTGCAGTGCCTAGATTTTTCTCCATCAGTTCAGATTTCAGTGATTCTGTGAAAATTATTTTGCTGTTACTTGTTTTGAAATTTTATGAAACTTGAAGCATTCAGGATGAAATAATCTAGTCTTTCTGTTAAAATATAATTTCATAAAAATAAGCAATAATATGGCAGAGCAGGGCAGAAAACTAACTTTCCAAAATGATTGCTTATAGGAAGCTGTTGGCTTGGAAATATATTTCTCTAGTAGTTTCATTTTTAAATTACATCTGTTTAAAAAACAGCATTGATATCTGGGTTTAAAAAAATAAATCTAGGAATTGTTTTCTTCACGGTATATTTAGTTACCTAAGTTAAAAAATAAACATACTATTCCCCATCCCCCAGACTCTCTTCAAGCTCATGATTTTGTGAAAGTCTTTATTGTTTACAGTGATAATAAGAAAGTGTAAAAGATTTAGGAAACGTCTTTTTTTTCATTGACAGCTGTGTGCTGGATATGTGTAATTTGAGATGTTTAGGAAAGTTCTTGAAGTCATAAATGAATGCATAGAATACCTTTATGTCCTTTATCAAAAATAAAACAAAAAAGGCATTCCTCTCATTTTTCAAACAGCTCACCGTGTCCAAGCCTGTATCATGGAGTCTGGTATCATCTTTTTCTTCCCCAAAACACATTTTATCAAAATACATATGGTAGTTGCTTCTGTTTAAAGGTGTAGCTGCTGCTTCTGACAAATACAAGCTTTACAGAAAGAAACTTCCCTCTTTTTTACATAAATAGGTGAGAGAGGCAGTGATGCGTGTCATCAGCATTTATTTCCTCAGGATTTTTTTGGTTTGGTTAAGTTATCCCTTTTGTAGGAAGGGGATCTGTCTTTGTAGGAAGATACAGGTCTCTATCCATTCAGGCTTCAATCAAAACAGCCCACTGTTAGCACACATACCTTATCATAGCAAGCCATCAAGTACAAATTGCATTTTTCTAAATGGTCGAGAAACGATTTCCAGCACAAACTGTCAGGTTAGTCCGTGGCTGTTTCTGTTGAGGGTATATTCTCATTACTTGGTGAATAGTATAAGTGTATTGGTTAATCCTGGAATTCTGATAGTATTCATTTTCTGCAAATGTATGACAGGTGTGTATGTGATGTTTTAAATTTTGTAAAATAATAAACATGAGTTGTTTTATCTTTTGCATAGTTTTGATATTTAAAGTCTTAATTATGTATTAATGGAATTATTTTCAAAGGGGTTTTATGTATCACAGTTCTGAAGTTTAGTCTTTGGGATAGATCACACTTGTGTGAATCTTCTTTCCTGATGAGAAGAGGAGCTTAACAGTTGTTTTGCAATGGAACTTTGGCAGGACAGGTGCATGCACATACCAGTGCTCCTAAATGCAGAATGACTGTGTAGTGCAAAAATATACATTTATTGAAGAAGATGCTTTCCCTTTCTTTCTAGTAATAGTGTCCCCAAATATTTTGCTTATCTTTTCTGGCCTATGATATCCCCACTATATTTACAGAGGCAGCATTAGGAGTAGTATTAGGAGGTAGATCTATTACTTGGATCTTATTGCTACCCATATTACCTTTCACAGAAAAAAAAAGGCAATATGCAAATTTGGTTTTTTGGTAATTTCAGTAATAGAAGAAGAATAACAAAATTTACTTAAATACTTCAATACTAGAAAAGGTAAAACTGAAAGAAGCCTTAGGTGCTGTTGTTTGTGATACAAGTAAAGAAATTTGACATGGTAAGTGAATGCACCACCAGATGATATGAAGCAGTTTACAGGCAGCAATTTGCTCCTGTAGTCCTGATCAGATATGGAAGTGTTGAGTTCATATTTTCCTTCAGGTGCTTATGTGATAAAATCAGAATTTCCTTTCATTTAAAAGAACATGTAAAACTCTGTAATCAATGGAACTACATTAAACAAGGTAAAAAGTGGCTGTGGAATAGTGATATATTCAAAGAAATGAGGCAGTGGTTGATAACTGATTTGTATCTTAAAAAATTACTACAACTGTACAAATCAAAAGTATATCATTAAAAAGAAAATTTAAGTTCTATCACACTTTTTTTTTCAAGAAAATAAATATTTATGAAATACTCTTAAGCAATTGGTGCATAAGTGTATCTAGAGATGATTTATGTATTAATTGAAAATTGGGGAGCATCGCCTGAATTTTAGAATTGCAGAAAGCAGCCTTTTCACGTGAGAACAAAATACAAATGCAATGCATTTGGAAAAGCTTCCTGAGTTATAAATGTGTAAATGCTATAGCAACATCTTTCTCAACGTTTAGAAGAGCATACGCAGGAGCTGAATGACAGGGAGCCTCATTTTTTTTTATTATTATGGTTTTTTTTCTTCATGTGCTTCTTGGACACTAAAAAACATTATGGTTTGTGGCCATCTAGTGGTGAATCCATTTTAAATACACTAACCTTGTTCAGAATTTCAATAAACCAGTACTCTACCTTTGCTGTGCAAAACTGAATTACAGACCAGATTGGGGAAAAATAATTCTGTATATCTTTTTCTCTTTTGCATTAGTAGTATTTTTTACAGGAGGATAACATCTGTAAAGGTCATTTCCTTCTTTGCTTTTCTTTGTCTTTCTCTAAGGCAAAACAATTTTTGATGTTAACAGTTTCTTTTTAGCAGGCAATTAGTAGTAGAGCAGTGAATTTCTTTCTTAGGCAGAAATGTATTAATTTTATAAATGATATGTTTCCAAGATACAAAACATTATTCTGTCACAAGCTGAATGGATTAATATAAGCACCAGTAGGAAACAGTGTAGTATAACAACTATGGCAAGTCACATCTTGAATGAGTCTACATGGTTTGTGAGACCTGGTGGACTTCCGACATATGCTAAGGCCCTAACAAATGAAAAACTGAAATTTTGTTTGTATTAGCGATATAATTCAATAAGCATATTAGCAGCAGATGTAAGCATTTGTATTTCTTGTTTTCACTAGATAATAAGAAAAATTTGAAAATTTGGTGGTTCCAGTTACTGGGTTTTTTTCCTTAATTGGGAAATGGACTGTAAAATGGTTTTTTGAATGATTTTGCCTTTACCTTTTGTTTCTTTCATCAAAGTGTCATTTTTTCATATCTGACCATTCCAACTAGCAATTCCTTGAATTTTTAGTGTTGGCATAAGACTTCTGCTCTTTTTTTTTAATTGCTGTAGATATTTCTTCTATTTAATTTGTAGATTTCACCAAGATGACAAATAAGCATAATACAGCAAAACCTATTTAAACTCACTCTCCAGCATGCCACCATCCATCCATTAACATTTAACATTGTATCAGGATGGTTTTGGGTTAATGTATGTAATGGTTTGTTTCATTTTCAGGTATTTGGAGTGGATGACAGCCAGGATTATAATAGGCCTGTTATCAACGAGAACCAGAAAGATTTAGTAAAAGATTGGGCTATAAATTCTGCTACAGTAGTGCTGGAAGAAAAAAGACCACTGAGTACAACTGGATTTCTTGACACAGAGGTAGAATTTAATTTTTGATGGTCTTCTTTTTTCTTCCAATAAGAGAGAGCACTAATAACAACCAGTAAGTGTTAAACAGCAAACAAAACCTTGCCTAGAAAACATTAGCTCAGATCTATGAGTATTTTATTTTCCTTAGGCCTTTATTGCATTACCAAAACTTCTTTGTCAGACAAGCACATTACATCATGAAGGTGTTTTAAACTTTGCTACCTTTCTGTGTGCACTAATACCAGTGTACTGGAAATGTGGCAGGAGCTTCTTTGCATCATTACATTTGCAACATACATTTGCGTACTATACACTTCTTGTAAGTTACTGAACTTGTGCAGTATACACTTCTTGTAAGTCAAGAACTGAGGAAAAGCTGGTTATGTTTTATAGCCCAAAGCAAGTAACTATATTAAAATTCAGGAATAAGGTGTATACACTTAATATGTGATACAAAGTCAGCTAGGAAAAAAATGGTGGATAATACATTTCAGGTTTTTTTCCGAAGCCAGAGGACTTCAGTTTTTTACATTTATGATTTGAGTTCTCAAGCGAGATGCCACTCATGAAGAGTCATTTATGTTAGTTGCCTCAGAAGCAGTATAATTTAATCAGTTGGTGAAAGATTAGGCAAAGTGCCTGTTCTTTATATATGACTCAGAATATGCACACAAGCTAGATGTTAATTGTATTTCATATTGAAATCTTGGGAGACATTCTGATATCATTGCGATGGATAAACTATAACTTGCAACATGTTGGGAGCAGAATGGGTTCACACTGGGGCAGAATTAATCTAGTAACAGTAACGAAGCACACCACACTTAGTTCTCTACTTGCCATGGCAAACTGTTTCTGAATTATGATCCTGTAAATTTGCAAACTTTATAAATAAGCAAATTTTCTGCAATATATCAAGAGCTTAAAGTATAAATTTGTGTGCCTGGCATGCAAATACGTTGTTTTTAATATGTAGGAATCTGTTTCTCCCAGAGAAGGTGTGCTTTATCATGGTTGTATTTTAACTGCGCTGCAGGCTCGATACACTAAGTATGTTACTGTATTTAGATTAGTATCTTTGAATAGTTTCTCTAAGGTTACTGTTTCAAGTAAATTATTGCCATACAGCATGGGCATAGGATATGGAAGAATTTGACAAACTTTGCCTTTCAGTTTGCTGCTTTGCTTGAATCTATAACCACAATCTTTCTCTCTCTTTTCTTCATGCCTTTTGCAGCATTGAACTCTTTTGTGCCATCTCAGTTTTCAAGATTATTAAAAGTATTGATATTTTTCCATGTATATAATTTCATAAGCAGCAAAAGAATATATAACTTATTTTATGAACATAATTGAGCTTTCCAGGTGTCATATTTTGCAAGTAACAGGGTTTGATTTTAGAAAAGTGAGACTTCTGCAATCATAGGAAGACTACTTCTGCAATCATAGGGCAGGTTTAAGAATCTTTCTGGCAATGACATGCTAAAACTCGCTTTGATTTAGGTTGAAATTACAAGAATGATGCCTTTTTATTACTGTGGATGCTTTGCTGAATAAAAAGGTCTTCGTGTATGAGAAAGGGAATGGGTTATTTGGCATAGTCTTAATTTACAAGATTATTATGAGGCATGATAGGGGAAGAAATGAAAATTGTTCGATAGGTAGAGGAGCAAAACTGACATAAGCAGTGTGGGTATAGCAAGAATTAGTGTAAGAAGAGATGAAGACAGATGAAGATGGAAAAAGCTTACCAGAGAAAGTTAAAAATAGAAGTTGGTTGATACATATGTTGAACTTTCCTGCTTCTCAGTTTTGGAAGACTTACTGCATGAATGAGCTGCAGATCATAAGTTAATAAACCTCATTGAAGATCTTGGCTTATTAGTCAGGTAACCTCAGGATAGCTCAGTGTTCCAGGCTTGCATCCACTCAGATTGTGGATGGACCTTGTTCCATCCGCCCATCACAGTTGTACCTATCGATGATTTAGCAGCATGAGGCAAATTCAGGACACGATTGACATAGAAAAAGCAGAGAATAAACATTTAAGAGATTTCAATTCAGGAAGATGGAAAAGATGGCTTGGGAAATTATGAAGATTTTATAAAAAATATTTTCAGATTGAAAGATTATTCTGAACTTAAAAATCTTAACTTTACAGGGCTTGTGAATAATGTGCTTGGAAAAGACCTTAAAAAAATTGCTTTTCTTATGAAGACATTCTCAACTTTTCCTTTGATATGACAAGCTTTGGTACTTTGGAGTAGTGTGTGTCATGAAACTAAGTAAAATGCAGAGTAAATGTCTGATACGGTTGGATCGAGCCTGCATGCACTGGTTCTTGCCTTTTCAATGATTAGAGATAGGCAGTAAAAATACTAAATCCATCTATTTAAAATATTTAAATGTTTTTATTTTCTATATTATAAGCTGCCACTTGCCAACCAAGGTAAGTGTGATTTAAGAACAAAAATTAAATAAGATAGAGAGCAAAGATGTTGTTGTTATTTATTCCTACTATGTGAGCTTGATTAATAGAAATACTGCAGACATTTGGGCTATGATTTATCCATCCAGCTTCCATTTAATTTTCAGTGGTCAGTTATCTATGCTGACCACAGTTCTTAAATAATGTACATGGTCTATCAACATTGTCTTTGATGTTCTTCTTAAGGACATACCTCTTTTTTGTTTGTTTCTGGGGTTTTTTTTTAATTTTTCTTAAGATTGCAGCACAATTAGAAACCTAGTTCTGCATCTGGTGGGTCATCAGTGCCATTGACTACAGTGTTTCTTTTCCTATTTTGAATGCCCATTTCATGTCTTTCCTACTGAAGATAAAATAAATAATACCATTGACATTCTGAATACTGAATAACTTCATTAATGTAAATATCTGCTATATTGCTTCTTAGAAGTGGAGAAATGCTGTGTATATTTAGAAGCTGTATTTCCTTTTATTTGTCCTTTCTAATTACACTAACTTCCTGTCCTTCTGTAGAGCAGACCATTCAGCGTGAAGTTCACTACTTGCTTTTTGGTGGAACTTAGTTGCTATACTGAAAAATAGGATGATTGTGTCACCAATGTCATATAGCTGTGAAAAGGCAAATATGACCTTGGATATAGCCTGAAAAATATATTGTCAGTAGAAGAGGACAGTGTTGCTGCCATGGTAGAAAGTTTTGGTGAAACTACCATTCTTGGATAAGAAGGGTGAATACAAGGCTAGAGAAGGTACAAACAGGTCTACTCAGGTTATTAAGGGAATGGAGATTTACCTTACAAAAACAGATTGATACAGTTCATTTAGTCTAGCAAAACAGTAGCTGAGATGGATACAATTGCTGGGTTTTGCAGTGTAAGTGGAGTAAATGCAGCAGAAGGAAGAAGAACTATTTGAGATAGATGCCAATGTTGTTCCAGGAACAAATGTGAAGACATTTGGTGTATATAAAGTGAGTATGGAAATTTGAAAAAAAGATCATCACCCCTGGAGGAATATGGTTCTGAAGCAGACAGTGGGGAGGGCCTAGAAGAACTGCTTTCAAGATCGCACTTCAGTTTATGAAGGATGGCATAGTATTATTCTTAACAACGTGAGATGCCTGGAATATGTGCCTAAGCAGTCTTCTCTTCTCTTTTTTTTTATTCAGCTTGTTGAAATTTATTTTTTTTAAAAAAAACTATTCTGGTCTGAAATGACAAGTATTGGAGATGCTTCAGGTGTCATGTGTGCTGTGGGATCTTTTCAGATGTAGAACCCGAAGCCCTAAATCTTCAGGGTGAATAATAAGTCCACAGAACTCCATTGATACATTTTCTGAGGATCTGTTACTCCTCAGTAACAGTTACAGTTTAGTTTGTAGATGGGATAAGCATACGAGAAAGCAGATTTAACACAAAGTTAAAAGGCTGGTATCTCTTATGTAAACCCAGCCTTTCTGAAAGACTAGGAAATTCCTTTTGGTATTCAAGAAAGATTTGGGTGATTGTTTACTTGAGATCCTGTAAAATGCAGATTGATATGGATTATAGGAGAAACATTAGGATAACTGAATGTGACTTTTTAAATTTGTGTTTTATAAACCTTTCACCTTTCAGATGTGCTTAAACTACTATCATACTGCTTTTTGTAGCTTTGTTGTTTGTATATACAGAGAGTTGGCAAAACACATTTACTTCCACTACTATGTAGAGAATGGTTTGGGGGCAGTGTAATTACTTTCGGAGAACAGTAATTTATCATGTTGCTTTACTACAGTTAATCTGCAATGTCTTAATATATTTATCTGTTGTGAAGTGGAATTCAGATTTCTGATACATATTATATCTGTATCTCTGGAATCGGTTAGGTGGTGCACAAGGAGCTAGTTGGAGTTTTCTGTAGCAAAGATAATTGGGATGTCTATCATACTTGGTTTTGGCTGTAATTAATTGTTTTATTAAAGATGGAAGTTTACTAGTACGGACAGGAAATAGAGAAAAAGCTTAGAAGTATGAAAGAGAAATGAGGCTTCAGCATTAGTTGTCAATGCATAAATGCTGCACATTTTTGCATGGGGTTTTTGTAATATTATTTCTGGCACCTTTTCCCTTGCATTGTGTTCAGAAATGCTCGTACTTAGCAGAAACATTAAATTGCCTTCCTTTGCTGTTATTAGACTTGAATTTTATAACATTTTGATTCTAAGAAATGAATTCACTTCATGAAAATTCATATATTGTTCAAACAAATTATTTGGTGCATCTCTGACTTTCTTCTGAAAGAGATTTGTGATATTGCACTTGTTTGCATTAATTAGGGTCATTCATTTAATCAGGAGAAATTCAAGATCATGAGTTCAAGTCTTCTCTAATGTCTAAGTAACTTTTAATTTGAAAGAAGTCATCATACACTAGATGATATTGTTCATCATTCTATTTCTGCTAAATAAATTCTATAAAATTTATAGAGTTGATTCCTGGTCAAAGACTACAATCCCAGAGTGGCCAAGGCATCAGGCAAAAATCAGCATTTTTAATAGAAGTGCCAAGATTTGAACAGGCAGCAGATCTTCAGCTAACCTTTGAAATAGCTTCTACAAATTTCCTTAAGCAAGCTACCGATATCTCCATGTCCTTCCCATGTCTATCGTTGATCTTGAATTGTGATTTCTTGTTTGACTTGCCTATGGTTATGTATCTCCTTTGGAACTATGGTTCTTTGGAACTAGTCAATGACTTGTGACATTTGCAGTGCTTTGTCTTTTGAGTCCAAAAATTAGATTATGTAAACTTCTCTAAAGCCTTTGATAGTGTGTGTGCACACATGTGCACAAATATATGCATCAGCAGTTGCCTGCTGTCTTTTTTTTTTTGAGATGTGAGCAAGAGAGACTGTTAATATATTGGATAAAACAGTAAGATTGCGTTATATTTAGAAATCAGGTTTTGAAATAATAGTACTTAAGATACTATAACAACACAACGTAAGAAGAGACTTGAATTTTATATTTACTCTTTTTACATTTTAAAAATTTTCAAAGTTTCAAAAGGCTTACCATCAAGAAAGTAAATTAAATTCCTTTCTAGGTCAGCTGCAAAAAATGATCAGATACTGATTACATTGACTTCACTGTTACCCAGTAGGATGATTTAAAACTAATCTTTGCTTCTTTTTCTGTTTAGGCTGAACAAATTATCTGGTCTTCCTTTCCTTTCCATCATGTTGTCTTACTCTTTCAGTCCTTAAGGTAGTCTTTCTGTAATGAAGTAAATACAATATTTCATCTGGATAAGAGGGTCTTCTAAACTGGTAAAATGTCGCTTTCTTGTCTTCCTGAAGCACATTTTTAACTTTTGAACACACAGACACACCATGTTTTTTTCCTGCTCTTCTGAGCTGAGGACTGAAATAACCTGGTATTAAAACTAGCACATGTTCTAATATATTTTATGTAGATTCTGATGTTTAAAAGTTCACTGAACTAGGAAATGCTCTTTATTCTGTACTGATTCTGCAACTATATAGATTTTGTTTATTTGCTGTTCTAGAGCTGGTAACTCTAAAATTTATTGAGGATACTCCTTTTTCAACTTCCTCCAGGAAAATAATGTCTGGCATATCTGTTCAGGAAAAACGTGCAAAGAGGACATGCTTTTTTCAAACAGTTGTAATTTTTCTTCTGCTTTTTGTCTTCCTTAGGAAGGTTGTACTGCCCCTGGAAGTAAACGTTGGGTATCGCAGTGGGCCAGTTTGGCTGCTAATCACACACGTCATGACCAAGACGATACCAAATTGGAGTCATCTGTGCCTGTTCCATTAGAAAATGGTATTAAAAACTGTTCTTGTCATAATTTCTGTTGAAGAAACCTATGAAAGCGAGAAAAGAGTGATCATGTACCTACACAAGCAGCTTTCTTACTCTTAGTACCTCATCTTCACCTGAAATTCTTTCATGTCGTTGAGAAGAAACAGCATAAAAATGAGCTCAACAGAAGTGTTGTTTGGCATGGCAGAAGAGTGCCAATATTAAGCTGAGTATTACTAAAACAAAAAATATAAAAACTGTTTAATATTAAAGAAGCTTTCACTTGAATGCAGTTTGGGTTGGTCTGTATAGTATATTTCTTTCGTTACATCTTTCTCAGTACTGGCCCCAAATTGGCATTTAATGGATTTTTAAACAGTCCAACCTGACACTTCATTACTCAGTCATTATTCAGCTGAAGCATAGCATACTTCCTTACCTTGGAAACATAGAAAACCTTGAGCTATGAAACAGGCAAGTAGGGAGGAAGGAGGGGGATCTTACTCTATTCAATAGCTTTGAAATCTGGTGTTAAGACTTGCTTTCTGCTCCCTGTTGTAATGGCATGCTGATATAACAGTGATTTGTTGTATACCTACTTTAACCTACTGAGAGAGCACAAGAACTTTATGTTCATATATACAGTCCCAGTGTACACTGCTGGCTAAAAGATTTTGATATCAGGGAGAGCATATCTTATGTAGCTCAAATTCTTGTATCTATGAAAACTTTCGGTTTTATATGAGAGCAATCCTAGCCTATATTATGCAACATATATACTGAAATTATAATGAAGCAGGAAAAAATACCATAGTCCCTCTGCAAGAATGATACAAATGTTCATGAAGTGTTCCCTTTCCCAGTATACAGTCACAGTGTCAGCAAGGTAGTAATTAGTCCAAGATGCCACACAAATACATGATGGTTTAATCGCATCCAAAATTATCCATGTTTGGGAAGAAATTGTGCCTGTTTGTAGCAGAGCAGGAGGAAAGGTGGTTGTTCTGTCTTTGCATTCTTACCCTGCTTCTGAAATGACTCCTACCCTTTTCCTGTGATATGCTAGTTTTAGGAAGTACACTTTTGGAAGATGGCTTTTTCTGTCCTGGTCACATCTCTGTGGTAAACTAGAAATTTGCAGTAATTGTATTGCAGCCTTTTAGACATTGATTTGATAGACACATGCTCTGTATCAGCACTTCGGGTTGTGTCGAATGGACTGTTCTTTTGTATGACACTCTTAACATTCTACTTCTTGTAATACAGAAATATTTTTTTTGATATATGTAATCTCTTTAATCAGGAGATAACCTGTTCTAAATTATGTTAGCGTATGATTCTGTTTGGGTTTTATTACAAAATGTATTGCAGTAGTGAAATGAAATATTATAGCTAGTTATGTACAGCTTGCTTATAGTTTGGAGGTAGTTAATGTAATTCACAGACATAGTTTCCACTCTGT